CCGACACAGGAAAAAGGGGTTGGTTAGGCCAATGTAACTGAATCAGTTGGTCAACAGGCCATGGGCGCCTTAGCCTATGAAATGGTCGGAGCATTACAAGAATCCATGGACATTCTCAGGGCTGAGAATCAAGTCTAGGCCCAGGTCGCTGAAGCAAGGCTATCATTCTTGAAGAGAGAGTTTTTCTGATCCAATCTGGACGAGTTTTTGGGTGATCCTAAAGAGCCACTGAAGGCAGATGAGTGGCTAGAGTAGATAGTAAAGTCGTTCGAGATGCTTGACATCGAGGACGACCAGCTGAGGGTGACCTTGACATCTTTCCAACTAAAAGGAGATGCAGGTCAATGGTGGAAATATGCGCGTAGATGCATTGGATGACTTGGGAGGTATTCGTTAACGCCTTCCAGGGCAAGTTTTTGCCTCCTACCATTAGGGAGAAGCTGAGAGACCAGTTCTCTAAGTTGGTACAGTTGAACACACCAGTGACCGAGTTTGAGGCCACCTTCACTAGCTTGTCTAGGTTTGCACTCGAGCTTGTAGCAATTGAGGAGCGCCGTTGCTTGGACTTTGAGAAGAGATTCAGGACTGAACTCTTGTTCAAGGTGGCCGGGATTATGATTAGGGATTATGGATGCCTTGTGAAGGCAGCGGCTCATCTAGAGATCGTGATGCAATCAGAGGAGGAGAGGATAAGAGGCTCCAGGAGGAGTCAGGATAATCAGGGGGACAATAAGAGGCAAAGGGGTTCTAACCTCTAGTCTTCCCAAGGAGCGCAGTCAAGGTCCACTTTTTCAGTACCAAGTTCGGGTTCTAGGAGGGCTGGCCAGGGAGATTTTACTTGTTTCAAGTGTGGTCAGTCGGACCACAAGTCTCCAGCTTGCCCGCAAAGAGGAAGAGGGCAACGGTCTGCATCGTCTTCGGCTCGTTCTCAGAGCCAGAGTCAGAGGAGAGGCTAGCCGCTCACTTGTTATCAGTGTGAGCAGGCAGGACACATGAAGAGGTTTTGCCCTCAGTTAAGAAGCACACCTAGAAATAGACACAGAGCCACCAGCAGACACAGTCAACATAGGCCTCGAAGGCCAATCAGGAAGCCTCTTCGGCTCAGTCAGTGCAGCATGCTTATGCTCTGAGGGGTGAGCAGGTAGATTAGAGGCCTACAGAGCATGTGTATGTTGTTACCGCACCAGATCTTGTACCAGCGCCTTTGGCAGTGAGAGGTACCTTCTTGTTTTGCAATTCAGTCACTAATGTGTTGACTGATACGGGTGCATCCTATTCATTTATTTCATCTACATTTGCATCGATTTTGGGGTTGGAGTTAGCTCGATTAGCATCTCCTATCTGTATAAAGTCACTAATTGGTGGTGAGATGATTTTAAAACAGGGATGTTGGGGTTGCGAGATAGAGGTCTCCGGTTGCCGACTTCCTTTTTCATTTGTATTGATTGACATGTCTAGCTTCGATGTTATTTTAGGTATGGATTGACTATCATCATACCAGGTTGTTATAGATTGCTACCGTTAGAGGGTTACTGTATGTACCTTGAGCAGTGACTATTTGCATTTCCTGGGGGACTGGGTGGATAGGTTCTTATCACCAGTGTATGACCCGCGTGAGCAGAGTGAACTTAACTGTCTTTTGGCAATTTTCTTGAGTGGTGAGTATGATGAAGTCCAAGTTGAGTTACCATGGGTGGTTTGGGAATACCCAGACGTTTTTTCCACATCATCGAAAAATCGAGTTCTCTATTGATCTAGTGCCTAGTACGGCACTGATTTCTATGGCACCGTATAAGTTTGCACCTGCCGAGTTAAATGAGTTGAAAATTCAACTCCAGAAGTTACTAGATAAGGGTTTTTTTCGCCCTAGTATGTCACCTTGGAGAGCACCAGCTCTCTTTGCTAACAAGAAAGATGGAGCGGTGTGACTTTGTATTGATTACCGGAAGTTGAACCAAATAACTGTTAAGAACAAGTACCCAATGCCTCATATAGATGATTTGATTGATCAATTGAAGGGGTCTTGTTGGCTTCTCTAGGATAGACCTGAGATCGGGTTATCATCAGTTGAGAGAAATGGAGGAAGATATCCCGAAGACGGCATTCCGTACACGGTATGACCATTACGAGTTTCTAGTTATACCTTTTGGGCTAGCCAATACACCAGTTGTGTTTATGGACTTGATGAACCGGATCTTCCAGGAGTTCTTGGACCGTTTTGTGGTCGTCTTTATGGACGACATTTTGATTTATTCACCCTTCGAGAAGGAGCACAAGAAACATTTGCGAGTAGTGCTTGAGTTACTTAGAGCCCACAAACTGTATGCTAAGTTTGGAAAGTATGAATTCTGGCTGAGAGATGTTAAGTTCTTAGGCCATGTGATATCCGGGGAAGGACTGACCGTAGATGCATGCAAGATAGAGGCAGTGCAAGATTGGGAGCAACCTATGAATGTCTTTGAGATCTGTAGTTTCTTGGGGTTGGCCGGGTATTACCATCGGTTTGTGAAGGATTTCTCTAGGCTAGCCTCACCATTGACTAGGCTGACGAGGAAAGGGGTTAAGTTTGTTTGGAGTGAGACATGTGAGAAGTCATTCCAAGAGCTTAAGATTAGACTTACTACCGCACCAATATTGATTATTCCGGAGAGGGGTTTGGGCTATTCAGTGTATTGTGATGCCTCACGGGAAGGCTTGGGTTGCGTCTTGATGCAAGAGGAGAAAGGTAGTAGCCTATGGCTCGCGACAGTTGAAAACTCATGAGAGGCACTATCCTACTCACGACTTAGAGTTAGCGGCGGTGATCTTTGCCTTGAAGATTTGAAGGCATTACCTGTATGGTGAGAAGTTTGAAGTGTTTTCCATTCACAAGAGTTTGAAGTATCTATTTTCACAAAAAGATCTAAATCTGAGGCAGAGAATGTGGATGGAGTTTATGGAGGATTATGACTTTGAATTGCACTATCATCCGGGGAAAGCCAATGTAGTAGCCGCTGCCTTAAGTAGGAAATCCATTAGCAGTGTAGCTAGTATTTCCATCCGGGAATGGGAGATGTGGGGCGCTATTAGCAAGTTTGACTTGCATCTTGGTGAGTCTATTGTGTCGGCAACAGCAACTTTGTTTACTATGGTTGCACAACCTTTACTTGTGAGCCAAGTTATAGAAGCACAGCGGAGTGATCATAAGGTAGAATCCATCCGAGAGAAAAAATCTAGAGGGAATGTAGAGAAAGGCTTGAATGTGTATTCTGACTCTAGTGTTAGATATCTTGACCATCTTTCCGTGCTAGAGTCATGTAGAGAGGAGGTACTCCGAGAGTTCCACCATTCATACCTTATGGTACATCCAGGAGGCACCAAGATGTATCATGACCTTAGTTGTCAATTTTGGTGGAGGAGAATGAAGAGAGACGTAGCCTTGTTTGTTTCGATATGCCTTACTTGTCAACAAGTGAAAGCCGAGCATCAGAGGCCAACGGGTTTGTTGTAACCCTTAACTATAGCTATGTAGAAGTGTGAGCATGTCATGATGGATTTTGTTGTGGGTCTTTTGAGGACTCAACGGGGTAATGATGTCGTGTGGGTGATAGTCGACCGGTTAACTAAGTCAATACACTTTGTACCTATGCGCACGAGTGACTTGGTAGGTTATATTGCCGACCTATATGTTAGGGATATAGTTTGACTTCATAGGGTCCCTGTGACTATTGTTTTGGATAGAGATCTGCGTTTCACAACTCAATTGTGGTAGAGTCTACAAAATGCCTTGGGCACTAGATTGATATGCTTTGGAGAAGGTTGGTTTGGGGTTGTGTTCTTGGCTTTAAGGAGTCGTGGAAAAGGCACTTTCCCTTAGTGGAGTTTGCCTACAACAATAGTTTTCAAGCAAGTATTGGCAAGGCATCATTTGAGGCCTTGTATGGCCAATCGTGTAGATCTCTTGTGTGTTGGGCCGAGGTTGGTGACACACCTATGTTAGGTCTTGAGTTGGTCAGAGATTTGTTATATGGTTATGGGTAATCCAAGAAAAACAACGTTGAGTCTGTTTCAACCCATACACTGACTCTCTCCCAAAAAATACAACGATCAAGTCTTTGACACTGTGGTTGGTGTGGGTGATATTCAATCAGTGATATCACTCCACTGCTGAGTTGGTTCATCAAGAAGTTTCCTAGAAGCACGTGATTTATCCAAGAAGGTTCTATCATCAAGAAGGTATGATTGTTTGATCTGATCATTTTAATCCGCTGCATATACTACATGTTTTGTATCTCTGATTTACATTTCTATACATTAATTTTACTAACAAACTTGACAGCTCTAACTCCCTAAAATGTTTGACGAAAAAAAATGGAGACTTATAAACCAAATCACTCAATCCAACAACAAAAGCAGATGAATGCTAGTAAAGTTCACAAAAATAAAATTAATAAAAGGGTAATTACATTAAAAATAAAATAAAATACAAAAAAAAAAAAACTCAAGTTTAACCTTCTAAAAAAATAAATTCTAAATTTTTAATTTTATTAATTTAAACTCTAATTTTTTTAATTTATTTTCATGGTAAGTTTGGAAGTTCAAGAAATAGCCCAAAAAAACCACTAAAAAGTCAAAATTTTCATTTTTTGCACCTCTTTTTTTTAAAAAAAAAAATATCAAAAAATTATCTTAAAATTTTTTTCACCTTATATTTTAGTAAAAAAAAATTATTAAAATACTATATTCCCAAACAAATCCTCAATCTAAATCATCTACTTATTTTTGTTGAGTAAAAAAAAAAATAATGTTATAGTTTTAAAAATCAATAAAAAATAAAATCTTAAATATTTTATATATACCTACATTGAATTTAATAGTTAAATTTTTTTTTTCATCAATTTTAGATTGAATAATTTAAATTGATAAAATTAAAATTAAAAATTTATTCTATTAAGGTCAAATTTTAAGATTTTTTTATAAAATGTTTCCATAAATAAATAATTAATAAAAAAAAAACTTACCAGTATTGGCATTTCCGAGTGTGGTCCGAATGAGATCAGTGTAAAAATGAATAGAAAGAGAGCAAGACCCAGCAGTCCAATAAGGCACCCAAGGCACCTCCATCTCCGCCGCCAAATCTCCGGCGAACCACAAGAACGCATCCGTCAATAAGCAACTGATCTTCACGCCGCTCCCCGCCGCCGCCGCCTCCATTCCCCTCTTGAAGTTCTCCGGCGTCGCCTTCATGAACAACCCAGCTGCCACGTGTACATTCCCTCCAAATTCATCTCCCTCCGCCACCCCATCCCACACATCGTAGGCTTTTATGTTATCGAATTGGTTCGCTTTGGCCCCCGAAAATGTCTGACGATTGGATTTGGCTGTACTTAAAAATGAGAACTTTAGGGTTGGTTCGGCCGCGGCGAGGCGGCGGACGAGGGTGAGGAGAGGGGCGGCGTGGGTGCCGAAGGGGAATGCGAGAACTCCGATGTGGAGGTGTTGTTGGGAGTCACCGTTCATGGTTGGTTTTGTGGGATCACTAGTTTGGAGTGAACAGGACAATATATAAACTTCATTTGATATAGATTTTTTGGATTTTTTAGGTATAAAATAAATTAAAATATTAATAAGATAAAATATTATATTTAAATTATAATTATTTTATTTCTTTCTTTCATAAAAATTAAAAAAATCAAAAATGAAAATGATCCGTAGCTCGAATGTGTAGAGCTCGAATGACTCGAATGGTACGGAAAATATTATCTTACCGGTAAGAGAATAAAAAAAAAACCCTTAAAACGACGTCGTTTTGAGATTTCGAGCCTTTGATATTTCGAGCTACGTAACGGAACCGAATCAAAAAAATATATGCTAAGTGAAACTTTTTTAACTCCAAATTTAGGCCTAGTTTGGGAAGACTAAATAAGTGTACTTTTTGACTTTTTATGAAATATGGGTTGGGTTTGGATTGGGTTTGAAGTGATGTGTTAGAGAGGTAATGTGACTTAAATAAGATGATGTGACTTATGGTTGGTTTGGGATGTCCTAAAAAAGTGCACTTTTTGACTTATTGGTGGGTTTGGGTTGGGTTTGGGTTGGGTTTGATGTGATGTGTTAGAGAGGTGATGTGATTTAAATAAGATGATGTGACTTAAATAAGATAGTGACTTTTTAACTTTTTGGCTTATTTAGTACATGCCAAACTAGCCCTTAAATAGGATAGTGACTTTTTAACTTTTTGTCTTTTTTCAATCATGCCAAATTTGACCTTAAATATTTAAAAAGTTTCAAAATTAAAAAATTAACCCACCTCCTAAAGTCCAAAACGAAGTGCAGGACAATAACCTGTTTGGTAAAGGTTTTTTTTTTTTTAAGTTAAAAGTAGTAACTAGCAAGCAAAAGCTACTCCTTCTATAGTTTTAAATAATGAGTTTTTTTTCTGTTTATCTAAATTGTTTTTAGGTAATAAATTATGGATAGAAATTATATCAAATAATCTGACAGACAGTGACAGAAAAAAAGAAGGCCCAGGGTTCATGTGCACGATAAATAGTTATTTGATACTTTAAGAGTACTATATTATATTATTTATGTAGTAGTTTAAATCAATAATATAGTCAAAAATCTTATAAATTGGATATAATAAACTCATTATTTTCAGGCAGTTGACAGACTACTTAATGTAATTTGTGATTTCTTATGTTTTGAGTATCACTAGGCAATGCTATATGATATTCTAAGACTGTTTAATAATTTTTATTTAAAGCACATCATTTATAAGCAATGTCATCTCTTTAATATTTTTCTATTAAATAAAAATTAAATAAATTTTATAATGTCATCTCTTTTAACCCACTTCCCAAGTTAAATTAGCATGTTATTTATATGACATATTGTGATAGTGATTATGATGTTATTTTGATTATGATTCAAGAATTGTTTAATTATATATCTTATGTGATATTTTGCTATAACTCAATATTTTTTTTAATTATGACTCATAATATTGAATTATGTCATTTGTGTTAATCAAGCTGGCATATAACTTAACTTGCGTATACACCATTTTGAGGGTCTATACTCTATTTTATTTGCGAGCTTGCATGAGGTTGTTTAATATAATTTTTTTTTACTTATAGTTTGTTAGATGAAATTTAAATAAATCAAAAAAAATTGATCATCTACATGTTATGAGAGGAGTGTTTTTATTTTTATTTTTATTTTATGTACACTTTTGATTATCAACTTTAACTTATAGTAAGTTGCAACAAATAAACTATTTGTACTGTGTGTTTCGATTTTCCTTAGTGAAAAATAATTAATTATCAAAAAGTTGAGCTCACAAACAAGAACGAATTATACTTATAGTCTTTCTAATCGCCCCATCTCCTCAACTGCTATTGCCATCTCCGACAACAATCTCAGCCTATGTAACACCCCCAAATTATTACAATAAATTCAATCCTTAAAACAGAATGTTGATAGAAATAATGTACTTTTATTTATCAGAGTTCGTATTACAAAAGATTACACATGCAGTATACATTCATTAATGTTCATCCTGAATCTATAGCATGTACTACCAGTTAAAAATCAATAAAAATAAATGTCTTACGGGCTTACACCTTTTCAAGACATTACTTAGTTACAACAAAAAAGAGTGTCACAAACTCTGTACATATAAAGACCATTGGCTTGAATAAACATTAAGTACAAAACAATAAAATAGAGCATCCAGCTCCTAGGTCCTCCCAAGCTACGTTCTTGGAGGAAGCATGTCACCGGTACTTGAAAATGGTTTCCCAATTTTGGTGAGTCAAAACCCAGTAGAAACAATCTAACACAGTATATGAGAATTAGCGAGACATTAGTATGATGCACATTTTCACTGTCCTACAAAAAAATCTTTACAACTTTCTCCGAAGCCATGGTATGCCAAACTTACATTTCATTCCATTCCTTTTAGTCCGATATATATATATATATATATACACTACATTTACTTAACAGAGGATACAGGTTTCTAACAAATTAAAATCATCATACAATACATTCACTTCTATTTGCCATTTTACAAAAATTTCATCCGCGGGAATCGGCACCCAAGTATACAAATGGTTTTCGGGACTTTCACCCTAGACATACAGGCCAACTTAGTTCAATGGAGTCAATCTCCTTTCTTCTTCTCAAAACATGGAGTACATCCCCTTTCTCCTCCCAAATATCATATATATACAATGTATATCATTCATAATCATATTCAATGATAATAGTTAAATGATTAGTTTCAATTCGCCTAATCCACATACAATGTCTACAACAATCAAGGCTATCCTCCACCGATAGCCCAAAGCAGTTATCTCTAACCAGATATACAATCTTTATAACAGATAATTCATCAAATTTCCATAGGTGAGTGATTAAACAAATCCAACAACACCATTCATATATACATCCTCACATTTTTACATTCCCTATATCAATTTCATTATTTGTAGAAAATAAGTATCCAAGACATTTTAAGGCAAAACTCTTCATTTTTCAAATATCAACCCAAAGGCCAAAATCAACTATTTCGATACATGATAACCTCATATCCAAACCCCATAATCATTTATATAACACCCACATAGAAAATCCTCTTTTCAAACTTGAACCCAAATCCTAGGTTTGCTCAAAACATCACCAAATCCCACAATCTTCACACAACGACCTATAACCAAGTTAAAACCCATATTAAGGTGTAGAAAGTCCCTACCACAAGTTTAGAAGACCAATGGAGCAAGCATGAAGCTCCAACGACGCCGAAACAAAATTTCAATCGGATCAAAGTGAAGCTCCCAAGATGCTCTACCCTTTTTCCAAAGGCACTAGAGCGGAAAGATCAACGGATCTAGAAGAAAATGTAGAGAGAGAGAGAGAGAGAGAGAGAGAGAGCGTATTTTAGAGAGAGAGAGTCTCACTTTAGTGTTCTTGGGAGAAAAGATCTGAAAAAGTGATGTAAAAAGTCATTTTCGCGATCTGATATACGCACAATCCACTCGAGGGCAAGATTTGACGCTCAAGCATCATACACAAAAAGTTTGTTCCGCTCGAGTGCAGAATATACACCTCCAGTACTTTTGCAAACAACAGACAAATTGTTCGAGCTCAAGAAAGATCGCTTGAGCATAGGAAACGCCGCTCGAACGTGAAAAACACCCCTCTAGTATTTTTGCAGACGTGCAAAGTACTGAGATTTGCAAACCCCACTTGAGCGTAGAAAAGGGTCGCTTGAGCAAATGAGCAAAATTCTGGGCAACACGAGATTTGAAAACCAAGCAACCAACCTATTTCAAGCACACTCAACATGTCCAAATAACCAAATATAAGTAGGAATAAAGAGCAAAAGAAAATGAACAACATTCAGAAATCATAAGCTCAAGCCCGAACTACCACAAGCGTTAGGTCAAAACCGGAATCGCTATAACCTACTTCCTACCTTTTCCTAACTCCCTTAGCCACTCTCTAACCCCTCCATATTTTCAATCGCCACCTTTCTTGTCCCTCTTCAGATCCTTGATTAGCCTCCCACATCTTTTCCACCTTCAGCAACAACTACTTTCACGAATGCCACCACCGTGACCCCTCCTCACTAGTGTCATCTTCGCATTGTTTTCATCATTATTCTCATGCTTCTTTTTCTTCTATAAGCCCTATATCTATGGTTTTTCTTCTTCACACAAGGATTGAGGTAAGTAAGGGATTTGTAGTAAGGAAATAGGAATAGAAAGAATGTTTACAGTGGGAAGGGGATTGAGTTGGAGGTTTGTGAAGGAGAATAAGGGTCATGATGCAAGAAAATGGTTGGGGGAGTGGGTAATGATGGATTGGGGGTAGTGGCCAAAAATAGTGGTGGTAGTTGGTGGCTGAATGGACATAGGGTTAGAGTTATGCGGAGGAAACATTGAAAATAATTGAGGTGTCAAAAGAAAAAAAATTATATATTTAAATTTTAAAATAAGATGTCTAACAAAATTTTTAGACAGCATTTAGAGACACTCTGTCCTTAATCATTTTGAGAAAAAGTGATGGACATATTTTATCCATTGATTTCATTCAAATTTCTAAATATATGTTATCAATTTGACTAAATTAATACATTGTTAAAAATTCAATGATGAAATCAAAATAGGTGCCTTTACACACAATTTTTAATTTATGAATTCATACTCCATTAAGTTCTAACTAAGATTTTTTGAACCTTCAAGTCCCATTAAATTTTTTATAGTCGAAATTGCCCTTTAAATAATGATTATTCATCATTTATGATTATATATAGAGGAATCTAATGATTTGATATTTATTTTGATTTTCAAAACTTTAAAACATCAACTTTCAATATTGAAACAACTAAGAAAAAAAAATAATGTGCAAAAAAAAAATAATCAATGCGTTTGGTTTCAGTTTTCTAAATTCAGTTTTTTGAAAACTGAGTTTTTTGTTTTTCGTATTTTTTTGTTTTTAGTGAATGTTTTTTAAATTTGAAGTAATTTTTTTTACTTTTTTAGA